TTGTCAAGAATCCATTGTCTTTCCTTATTCACCGCTACACTAACTTATTGCGCTTCTGTCAGCAAGCAGGAGAAAACCAGCAATATCACTGAACTAATGAACTAATTATTTTTAGTTCAATAGAGAAATGATTTTGCTGTTGTGGGTAGAGGGGAAAGAGGCATGGCTCCCGGAAACCCCCACTCACTAGTAAAGAAAAATCATCCATGTCACTTTAACACCCTCATGAACTCTTGGTGAATCATTTGAAAATGGGGAAAAGTTATCATCAACAGTTGTGGTATAGATTTCGTAATTTAGTTTTCGCATAGTTGAAAATAACAAATTTTAACTAAGTTTTTAGATAGAAAAACTATTAAATTAATTTAGAACTTCGAACTAGGTCACGCGTTCACTTTAAAGAACTAAAGAGTTCGTGAACGACAACAGTATAACCTGCAGCATACTTCTGTAGCAATCTCGCCGCGGTAAGTGCCTGAATCAAGATCTTCGAAGGAAAAGAAAATAAAAGAAATTTTGAGCATGGTCGAGCATACTTTATATGCAAGAAAATCCACAAAACCGCCAGCCAAATAAATTATTAAAAATCAACGCGATTTTCTAGCGTCTTTCGGTTTGCAGTTTTACCTACTAAAATTCAATGGGCTATAAAACTGCATACCCAAAATTTTTCAAAAAAATCTGATTGAAAAGTTTGAAATTTTTGGGGGATTCCGATAAAATTTGTTGAATTTTTGTAATTTTTGTACAAACTTTGAAATGTGGATTTATATGGTGTGTGTTATATATTACGCTAGACTTTTATACAAAAATATTAAACATCGAATAAACAAAGTAATATATCCAAAACTGGTCAAAGTAAAAAGTTTCTATCATTTCTTCCACCACTGTATATATAAATATGCTGACGAATTGATAACCCCCTCCTTTTTAAAAAAAAACAAAAATTTTACTTTTGAAGTCGGTTCTGATCCAGGTAATTTTACATTCAATCAGACCTTTAAATTGACCTTCAAAAGTGAAATGTTGGACTTTTTGACGCTTATTAATTTGATGGTTTGGGTTGATCTCGAGACCAAACTTTGGTGTCGTTGGGGCCGCTTCTCTTCCTACTTACTATCGAAAGGGTATAATTTAAAAATTTAATTTTCCAACAACGGCCAGTCCTGGAAAGTACTATCAGTTTCTAGCGGTTGGAAGAATATTTCCAAGAAGACCCAAAAAAATGTCTGCCTAAACTCTAAAATCCATCCTGAAACCGTTGGTGTATGAGTGATGTTGAAGTGAATTTGCCTTCTGTTTAAACGTCAAGGAGAAAGTGTTGGCCATTAGCCACAAAGCACAGCTAGCCATCACGTTTCGTGTAATGAAAAATAATAGAGAATCGAGAACGGGAGGACAATTTGAGTATTCATGCCAATATACGATCGCTCTAAAGTTAGTAGTCGATGTTAAAAGATTTAAGTTTTAGCAAGCTCTCACAACCACTTATAAACACCCATATACTATATTCTATGTAAATATACACATATAGTTAATATAAGCACGGTAAGAACTTGATTAAATAGTAACTATGAATATTTATAGTTTTTGTGCGTAATTGAAATTGATTTAAATTAAACTGGAACTATAAGTAGTTCTTTATTATGATTTAACTGAAAGATAGGAAGTATCTTTTAAAAATTAGCAAAAATTTTGAAGCACTTCTGATAGTATATAATAAAAAAGCGCAGGCATTAGAATGAATTGTGCACAGAGCTGGCATCGTGCATCGCAAAAGCACACACGAGAACAGAAAGAAGGAAAGCACATAAGAAAGAAAATGAAATTGCTTATCGTATTCGTTTGCTTGCTGGCTTTAGCTTTTGGTCAAGTCAACTTTCATGCGAAATCCGTTCAATTCGAGTCCAAAACAAAGAGGAGTGATTATGGCGCTAAGGGTGACGGATATGCCGCTGGGGAGCATTGGTTACTACCCCCACTTGTGGACGATGAAGCGGTGGTTTATTGAATAGGAAACATAAGTAATACAATTTGTATGTACGTATGTACTATGTCTATTAAGAAAGTAGAAATAAGAGTAGTTATATAAAGTAATTTACATGTATGTACTATGTACCTAGTTTTATGAAGGATGGTTAATATACTTTGCGTCTAATAAGGAATCTATGTATTTTTAGCAAGGAATGAAACCGAATCAAAATAACGTTACGATTTTGGCTTTTGTTTCGTTCTTCGAATTTAGTGTCGGTTTCGCTTTTGAAACAAAAATATGAAAACAAGTTTGACCAAAAGATTACACGGTTCAACAAAATTTGATCGTATTTTATCTCAAAAACATGGTCGACCTCGTCTTATAGTTTGTTAGATGTTGATTTGAAGTGCATTTACAAAGTTTTTCTAGGACGTTCAATTTTTGAGAAAAAAAAACAGTTGAAATGTCAAAAAGTGGCAAAAAGGGCAATTAACAAAAATTAAAAATAGAATTCGGACGTAGTTTTTTCGAAGAAAAAAAACGACGTATTAATGAAAATCGAATGCGTTTGATGGATTCTATCTCATGTCGATGGAATGAGCAGAAAGGAGTGAAAAAAAATATAAAAAAAACACTAGCGAAGAACATGGCGAACGATTCCATCAGCACATAGCGACTATGAAGAATCAGGGACCGTAATAGTTACAACTTTTATTTAAAAAATCACTCTTTAACAATTATTTTTTGACTTGTATTTAATTACTCCTAAAATAACCGCTATTTCTGACTTTTATTTTATAAATCCAAAATAACACTTATTTTTGATTTTTATCTGAATAATCTGCAAACAACAGTTAGTTTTGATTTTTAAATTATTTGGCTTAGATAACAGTTACCGAAGACTTTTATTTATAAAAGTCATAAATAAAAATCAGTCACTGACCTTTATTTTTTAAATCATACTTATAAAAGTCATTTGAATAAGTCGTAGTAAAATTTTTGTTTCCCAACACCTTCTTAACTGGGAAAATTTTAAAGGCTTTTATACGAATGATTTAAAAAATAAAAGTCGGTTACTGATTTATATTGATGACTTTTATAAATAAAAGTCTTCTATAACTGTTATCTAAGACTTATAATATAAAAATCAAAAATAATTGTTATTTTGCATTTATAATAAAATAGTCAAAAGTAATTGTTATTTTGTTTTTTAATTTTGCATAGAAATTGCAAATAAAAATTTGTTTTTAAAATTTGAGTCTCGGTGAAAAAAGAAATCGATTGATATGTATCACTACTTAGTTGTAGAACATTTCCTTCATAGTGAATTTTTCCATGACAGTTTCCATCAATAACTGTTATGTTCGGTCCCTTTGGAGAAGCGGTATGCTAGGAAACCAAATCTCCATATGCTTTCTGACTATTGCTGAACTTTGTAAAACGATGATAATGCGATGCCCAAAAGGAAATGTTTGAGGAAAGTGTTAAGAGACAAAAGACTAAAGACAAAAGAGAATAGTTCATGAAATCACTTTGTTTTTAAAATAAATTCATAGGTTAAGATTTTCGTATTTGTGGGAAAACAATTGCATGCTATTAAAGAACTGAGTTTTTTTTTAAGTTTTTCACTAATTTATAATCAACACATCGACATGAGATAGAATTCATCAGACGAATTGGATTTTCATTAATGCGGAAAAACTACGTCCAAATTCTATTTTCAATTTTGTTCAGAGCACTCTGCGGTAGATTGTTCTTTGACTAGGACGTTAATGTCATATACGCAGTCCTGAAAATCAAAGCCACATCCGCCAAGTAGGCAAAACATTTTACCCACCAATATGAGCCCCAACAGTGGTGAGATAATTCTGGTCTGTGGTATCCTTTCGTGGTTGAGAATCTGACTTTGTCCCATCCTAGCGGATAAGTTATGGACATAGATTTAAGAATACTTGCAGCCTAGCGACATGTTATGCCTCCTGCTCCTTTTTTCGGCGAAACAAGTTCTTAATGTTCTATGTACAGTTAATCAATATTCATAATGTTTTTCAAGTAAATTTTTCTCTATAAAACTGCAAACCCAAAAATGTTCTAAGGATTCAGATTAAAAATTTGGAAATTTTGATAAAATTTTTTTGAATTTTCTTACATCTTGTAAAGTTTGATTTATATGGTTTCGAATTGGACAATATTTTTATAGAAAAATATTAAAGAAATTTAGCTTAAAAAACATTGTGAATATTAAAAAAAAAATTAACACGTGGTCACTTGTTTGAGTCACTGTATATCCAAGAGATAACCCGTGACATACTCGTACCGTTTGTTCATATCAGCTATCGCATTTCTTTATAAAATTTTCCTTGATATTTCGAGATTTGAAAGTTGAGATAGCCCAGTTTTTTTTTTAAATATCCCTAACAGTATTCGGTGAAGTCTGCTTGTAAATATTAAGAGTGTTGCTAGGTCGAATGCAGTAAATTTTTGTTTAGTTAGGTTCTCGGTTCGCTTGAACGGAAATTGAGTAAATGCACCATCTGCATAATAAAAACGAGCAATAAAGAATATATTGTTAAATATGCATATCTGCTCGACAAGTCTTTTAATTTATACACCAAACATTTTTATCACACATTTTTAAATAATAAAAATTTGCATAAAAGCATCCAAAGAAAACGGTAAATAAAATTATATGCGCTCGTTTTCAATGAACCAAGCAATTTAGGAATACTTGAAAAGAAATTATAACAAAATTTATGCCTTCACCGCCCTAACTGAACTGGAAATGTGAGCAGGATTTGTGGTACTAGCTAGCATGCTGCTCCTAAAAACGTGCAGCAGCTTATGCAATCGTATCAGCGCAATCTGCTAGGCGTAACAGGTTAATGATTAGAACCAGATTTAATATGGTTAAAGTGGAAGAATTTCATTTTGGTTCATTTTATGATTGGAGAAATGCTGGCATTGCGAATGATATAAAATGTCAGCGTAAGCTAAGAAAGTTATCCACTAAGTTGACAACGTTTATCGCAGCAGCAACATAGCCGAACACCTAAACCTAAACGCCTAAACATGAAAGCCGCCGTCATCATTTTCGCTTGCCTTTTGGCCGTTGCCTTCGCTCGTCCCGCCGCTGATACCCAAATCGTCAAATCCGACTCTGATGTCGGACCTGAAAGCTACACCTACAGCTTGGAGACCAGCGATGGTACCAAAAAGGACGAAGCCGGTCAATTGAAGAATGTCGGTACTGATCAGGAAGCCATCGTTGTTCAGGGTAGCTACACGTGGAAGGATGAGAAGACTGGCGAAGTATTCACTGTCACCTATACCGCTGACGAGAACGGTTTCCGACCACAAGGCGCTCACTTGCCCGTTGCCCCAGTTGCATAAACTACCTATGTAGTTTGATTGGATGATGCGAAGTTAAAGGTTTCTAATACATAAATACATAAATAAGAGTTTTTTTTAATGAAAATAAATTAAATGCAATTTTTTAAATTTGGTGTTTATTTTTTGTTATTCTTCGAAAATATGTGCGGTTTTAAGCAGCTTTCATATGGTATACATATTAAGACTCACATCTTTTTTCACACAAAAAACTGTATATTATAGCGAAAAGAAATTCCTTTCACAGTATCTCCATTAAAACAAAATCATCTTAACAGTAGAGTATTTTTTTGCAACAGTTTTCCCAATAAAGCAAGTGACAAAATGATACGGTCCAACGAAATCATGTATGTAAATCCAAACTTTGTACAAAAATTAGATAAATTCAACTAAGTTGCACAACGACAAATTTCCACTTCGAAGTATCTGGAAAATATCGTTGATTTTTAAATTTTTTGTTTGCTGACGCTGTCACGCATTTTCTTCCATAGAATGTTACTAACTTTGACAGTTATGTGGAAGAAAATAATAACACCGTCGGCGAAAAAATTATCAAACATCAATACGAAATCTTAACCTCTCAAACACATTTTCCAAAATTCCACAGTAATGTTACTTCTTTTCAAAGGGTTGTTGCTAGTATCAATTTTGAGTAAATTAGCGTCCCCTTAAATTTCGAAATATCGAAGTTGCTGAAATTTACCGTTACACGAAAAGTGGGCATAAATTTCGTGCGATTTCAATAATTTTCAACGTTTTGCGTTAATGTGGCAAGCACAATAAAATAAAATAATACAAACGAAAATAAAATAAAGTCAAATGAAACGAATAATTAAAAACAAATAAAAGAAATCATAGAATCAAAATTTTGTTGGCAATCGCTCCAACCGAAGATCGAACCTGGAACCTGCAGGCTAGTAGTACGCAGCTCTCACAACTCGGCTACCGCGGATGAAGGAATCATCGGCTGCTTTGTTTGCGTATTTGTTTGCTCAGGTAGCGTAGTGCAGTCAATTGAAATTGGATTCCTATTTGAATTAGTATGGTGAGACTGTATTACCGATGAAAAGATATATATATAGCCGTGCTAGTTTTGTACATTCTCTGTATTCTGCGCTCTCTGAGTTTTGGTCAGTGCTATCATCGAAAACTTCCTTCATTCGTATTAAGCTTGGGCATTAACTTTAGGACTTAATTCGGATCAACTGCAGTTAATTCCCGAGATAATTGCGCATTAACGAGTTGTTCTGGATCAAGGCGGCCGTGCTTTTATGCTCTAAGCGAGGAGTATCCCAAGGATACGAATGGAAATGTAACCTACCTACCGATATGTAGTTCGACCTACTGAATCCGAATTTGAGGTCCACTCGCACCCGAAATTATGAAAAAAGTTATTTGTGCATTTCGACTCACTGAATCTAAATCTAAGGTTCGTTTGACTCGTACACCTCCAAAATTTCGAGTGTATTGCGAATTTTTTGCCATTTTTTTTCGTTTTTTCGTAATTTACTCGAATGCTTGAGGGTGTACGGGTCAAACGGACCTTTAGGCTCGGATTCAGCGGATCGAAATCAGTGTTGGTACATGCAGGGAAAATTCCCTACTCATTGGGTTTTTATTTGAAAAAAAAATTAGTGTAGGGAAAAGAAGGACAGAAGCGTTTTTCAAAAAATCGAAATTTTTGTGTAAACAATTTTTTTTCGCTCAAAATGCAAATAAGTTCGCATGGAAACTTTTTATCAATGAATGAATGAATGGCAGCGTTAAATCCGAAAAAGTGTTCGAATGACAGCATATAGCCACCACCATGGCTTCATGGTTGTTATTTGTTTTCAAACTGACATCGACAGCTAATTTTTACACAAATTTTGTACTTTTTTTTATCAATTTTGGCAAACTTGCGGCATTGTACCCTTTTTGGGGGTAAGTTGCTTCAATAGCACCACGCTCCATTTGATCTTTCATGAGCAGTGGCTCACTCCGATTTTTGTGTGGCCTCAGTAGCTATTTGAGCGTTCACTTGATAAAGCTAAATATTAAAGTAAAACAAAATTTATTGTTTTCTTATTTTATTTATGTATGTGTATGTGGCCCTCTAGAATAACGACACATTTCAGAACTAAAGAACCCATAATCCTGTAATCCTAACCAAAGTAAGATGTAAGGATTACTAGTTTAAGTAACAAGGATTATACATGGACTAGGCAAAGATTAGAGCCATGAGCCCCCTAACAGGATTAAGGTTTTTTTTTGTTTTGAGTTGTGCCGTTATTGCATATGCCCATCGATATATACTTGTACAACGCAGTAGTGTACATATTATATTTTTTTATGTATTATATTTGTTATTATAAAAAATTTTCTAAACATTGCACCTTCCGTGTTTTATATAGTCAAACTTTTTCACGGGTGTTATCACAGAAAAAAAATTTCCGCCAAAATTGCATCTGCTAGCTTTTATTGCAGGTAAATTCGCATTTTTCTTAGCTTACAAAATAAAGAACTGTTAGCGATAATAAAGTTATTTGTTCTATTTAGACAGGTTGACATTGTGAAAAATTTATGGTTTGTTGTTCGTGCCATGCAATCTGTTGACCGTTTTTTTTTAGTACAGTAGAAATTTTGGAGGGAACAAGTTTTGAACTAAAAAAGAAACGTTTTAATTTTTTTTTAATTGAGCTTCAAATCAATTAGCAAGTAATTTAAGATTTATTTTACAAATGAGTGCAAATAAACAAAAACAATTTTTCAGCAGTTTCAGTGTGATTTCAGCAATAAATGAAAACACATATACATACATACAAAGAGAAAAATATATACATACGTAGTTATGTATGTCCTTTATTAGACCATGCGTTGGTGTGTGTGTGTGTTAAAAACAAATTCAGTAGCTAGTAAACTTAGTATAAATAGACGCCAAACATTTTTAATTGCATTCATAAAGTTCTCAACTTTCACAAAGTTTGAAGGGTATTCGTTCGTGCAACTGCATAATGAAGTTCATCATTGTATTCCTCGCCATCTTTGCATTGGCCCATGCTCGTCCCGATGTGGAGATTATAAAATCAGAATCGGATGTGCAACCTGACCATTATACTTTTGAGTAAGTAAATTATATGCCGAGTGGCCACATATCGATGGTCCTCTGCAATAAGGACACAACTCAAAATTCCAACAAAAAAAAAACCCTCACTACTGTTAAGTGTCTCATGTCACTAAAAATTGTCGAATCCATATCTTATTCTCACTAAATGAAGTAGTAAAGGTTACTTAAGTACGTAGTAAGGATAAGATTTGGATTAGGTAAGGATTCGAGACATGGGACACTTAACAGTAGTAAAGGGTTTATTTTTGTAGAATTTTGAGTTGTGTCGTTATTGCAGAGGACCATCGATATGCACATAAATATACTGTTACAGTTTTCGCTTTCTTGGTATAACTGATTGTAAATTATTATTTTTGTGAATCCTTGCAGTTTGGAGACCAGCGATGGCACCAGCCGTCACGAAGAAGGTGTTATCAAGGATGCTGATACCGATCATCCTGCCATTGTGGTGCACGGTAGCTTCTCATGGAAGGATGAACACGATGGCAAACAGTATTCGGTCAGTTTTGTAGCGGACGAAAATGGCTACCAACCCACCGGTGAGCATCTGCCGAAGCTGCCTGCAATCGAGCATTAGACTCCCGCCTTACTAAGTAAAGTTGTTCTCGTATTTCGTTTCCACACTAATACTAATTTAAATAAATCATCAATTGACAGCATCGCAAAGTGCAATAAGTGCAAATTAAGGTGGAGCTTTTATTTCGCCGCGGGATTTATTTGTTTGTGTAAAATAGTCTGTGGCTATTAGTTAGCAAAATTTAAGTGAAACTTCTCACGACTTCTAGAAACGATAGTATTTTTAAATTTCCGAGGGAGTTCTACAAAAATGCTTGCCAGAATTTAAAGCCAATTACTGACAAAAGCACTTCTATGACATCTGGGTCCAAATATGCTTCCTCTAGTACTTTTACCATCAGGTTTGGGTTCGCCAGTGCACCTGACTTGAGATCCTTCGCTGATCTTGCATAGCACTTTAGATGGCTTTTGATATCTCAGCTTTGCATGCTGCTTCTACGGCGCCACAGTCTGGTGGACATAACTGGATAAGTCACTCACTAATTCTAAACTTACCAAGTTTCAAAGAGCGGCATGCATGCTAATCACAGGTGCGCTGCCATCTACACCCACCAAAGCCATGAAAACACTCCTAAACTTTTTGCCCGTAGACATTTTTGGGAAGCTACAGGCGAGCTGCAATGCAGTAAGACTAAATGCACTGTCAAAATGGAAAGGCACCAGATTCGGTAACACCAAAATTTTACCCAACGCCCCCAATATGTTTAGGTCTCTAGATTATGCAACACAACCGCTTGGGCTCGAGGCTAAGTTCTCCACTCGCGTCCCTTCGAGGAAAGACTAGGAAGAAGACTCGGTCTGGGGCCTCCAAGATAACTTCACAGTCATCTAAACGGATGGCTCTAAACTAAATGCGATAGAATGTAGGAAAGTCCTTAACGATTTTCCCCTGACGTGGGTCTGTTAGTGTGTTCACGTCTGTTGAACCCCACCAGAAACTGCTTATATAGCACTCTATTGTGCTCCCTTACGGGGAGAGGTTGAGCCTCGCTGTGTAGGTGGTGCGCAGGCGACATCAGAAGGCACCCTGCCGCTGTCCGGAGTGCGGCGTTCTGACAAGTCTGTAGCTTCGTCCACTGCGTCCAACTATTCCCCGGCGACCAATCAGGCGCAGAATCGTTTAGAACCGGCCGAACAATTGCCTTGTATGTTGCCAGCAATGTTTTATTGTCTTTGCCCCAGTTTCTTCCGGCGAGCGACTTGGGGACCTTGTTGCCGCTCTGTACTTTTTTGACAACCGCGGTTGTGTGCGCGGTGAAGGAGCATAGGCTATAAAATGTGACGCCTAAAATTTTCGAGTTGTACACTGTCGGAATTTGTGTGCCATCGACGTGAATTCCTAATTGAAGCCTGGTCTAGTTCATCTAGGTGGTGAAGAGGGTCGCCGTTG